CACACACACACACACACACACACGTGTTGTTTCCTCCTGGGCCCTTCCTTTCTCCAGGGACAAGCCCCCTCTCCGCCCCCTCTTCAGGACAACACAGGTGCTCACCTCAGTCCTGACTCCTGGGTCTAACAAAGCCTGTCCTCTTTCTCGATGCTTCCTCCAGACCAGGCAGCTCTCTAAGAGCTGACGAAGGGGGGCCTGACCCCCATCCACCTTCCAGGGTGCAGAATTGGGGCTTGTGTTTTCCAGGCTGTGTCCCTCTGCATGGCCCCAGCAAGGTGACAGGCACTGTGGGGGAGTCCCTGAGTGTGCAGTGTCAGTACAAGGAGGAACACAAGACTAATGACAAATACTGGTGCAGAGTGTCACTGCTACCATGTAAAGAGATTGTCAGGACCAGAGCCTCAAAAGAAGCTGGGAAAGGCCGAGTGTCCATCAGGGACCATCCAGCCACCCTCACCTTCACAGTGACCTTGGAGAAACTCACCCTGGAGGATGCAGGCACCTACAAGTGTGGGGTGGACATGCCACATATTGATGACTCCTTAGGGATCTATCCCTTCTTGGGGATTGATGATGATTCCCTCAAGGTTGTGGTGTCCGTGGTTCCAGGTAAGCTCCCTTCATTTCAGGGCATCCTGAGTCCAGGTAAGTCATTCCCTCACGAAGGAAGGAAGCCAGATACAGTAGCATGGTGAGCTTGGTGAATCAGTGACTCAGGCCACAGGGGGTGTGAGTCCACATGTGCCTTGTGAGAGCATGTGTGGTATATGTGATAACGAATGTACACCAGTATCTGTGTGTGCGTGTACACACAGGCACAATGGGGAACCTGAGTTTTTAGAAACTCTCTTTTTATGACATGTACTTACTTACTTTCTTGCGACTTACTTACTTACTTACTTTCTTACTTACTTACTTACTTACTTACTTACTTACTTACTTACTTAAGACTTACTTACTTACTTACTTACTTACTTACTTACTTACTTAAGACTTACTTACTTACTTACTTACTTACTTACTTACTTACTTACTTAAGACTTACTTACTTACTTACTTACTTACTTACTGACTGACTGACTGACTGACTTACTTACTTACTTACTTACTTACTTACTTAAGACTTACTTACTTACTTACTTACT